CAGGTCACCGCTGGCAGTGTGGTGGTGGCCGGGCCTCCAGGTAAGCGGCAGCGCCGCGTGCAGACTCAAGCCCCGCCCCACCTTCCCACCTGCGTATAGTTGAATTTGTACAAGTTAAATGCGCATATGATGTGACATGCCTGTACCAAATCCCATCCACAGCTTCTGAACACTCCTATCCCTGTCTTTTTCCTACTCATTACTTTCTCTAGCTTTACCCAACTTTATGTATGTTCTGTTACCCAGTTCCAGTCCTACTCCTTCCAAGTCTCATCTGTTTGGAATGTCTTCTTTTCCCACTTCCTTCTCATCCCTCTTGTCCTCCCCATCTTCCTATCCTCAGTATCCCCATTTCCTTCTGTAGTTCCATTTATAATCATCTGATCCTTTTTCCTCCTTCCACTTTCACATCCTCTTTCACATCTGCATTTTCTACCTGTTCCATATCTTAACCCAATGTCTTTGCCATCTCCTCATCTTTCTTTTACCCCATTCATCCTCCTATCTCCTCCCTCCTCATAATACCTAGTTGTATGGATTCAAAGAGTGACTTTCTTCTTTTTAAAATTTTATTTCATAAAATTACAAAATGAATATGTTTGCAGTTGAAATGCTAATACAACTCAACATTTCGGTGTTTTGGTTGGTTTTTTGTGCTCTAGGGACACTGGATTCTTAAGTGATACCTGGGGCAACTTCCCTTAAGTTACTTCTGATTTACACGAGCATGAGATCAGAATTGGGCCCACAGAAGCAATGGTGTGTCATAATGAACTGGAATCCCAGGATATTTAGTAGTGGATGGAAGCAGAACAGGCAGCTAAAATGATATAAAATCTTGGCAGGATTTAAAACAAAAGCAATTAGTATTATTCATATTGGGCTTTTATATAGCACTATAAATATACATTCTTGTAGGACTTCACAAAATGTAAAATAAGAGTAGAGATGGTGATAAAAACAGCTAGCAACACTGACTCTGTGCACCTTGTTTTTTTGTGGCTAGATAGGTGTTCGTCTATACTAACTATACAAGGCTTGCTTGGTTTCATTCCAAAATTGAACATCGGACTCAGGCCAGGATAGATTACTTAAGGTTTACATAACTTTTGCGCAAAATTAGCAGTTTTGTGTGGTCATTATGGGAAAGAATGTAAAATGTAGAGATATTGACTTAATTTTCCTTTGCCTGTTTGGAATTATTCAAATCCAAAGCTTATACTAAAACTGGTAGGGGAGGGAATGCTTGTGGATTAATACCAAACAAAATATTTGTCTACACTCCTGAAAGGTGAAATCGCCAAGTTTCACACAGCTTTCAGTGGTAGTGGCTGGCATCTAATTATTGATGTTTTGTCAGATTTTCCAAAGCATAGTAGCAGAATTAATTGGTAAGAAAAATACTTGAGTCGATTGAGGGTGGTCTGAAATCTATCAGTAGCTTTTTAATACTCTGAGGAGGTTATTTGGTTTTATACTCTTTTTTGGCTCTTGATGCTATTTTACTTCTCTCTAATAATGCATATGTGCAAATGTGCGCAACATAAGACTGAGAAGCTCGTCAAAGAAATTAGGTGATAGGTGAGTAAAGGTGCGTGACTGAACACAAGAACATAACAATTGTCTTTTACTAGGTCAGATAATAGGTCCTTCTTGCCCAATATCCTATTTCACACACTGGTAGAGAGTGGATGCTGAAAGGGAGCATGAACAGGATATGACTGGGGTTTTCCTAGTCTTTCTCTCTCACTTGCAGCCTCCAGCACTTAAAGTCTAGGAAATTTTGATTCAGAGGTTGTACCCCTAATTCCCATGCTCAATAGCTACAGATGTACCTTTCTTCCAGTAATTTGTCCAATCCCTTTTTAAATCTAGTTAAACTGTGAACTTCCACAATATCTTGTGGCAATGAGTTCCATACTTTACAAGCTGTGTGAAAAAAGAACTTCCCTTCATTACTTTTAAACTTACTACCTACTAGCTCCCTTTATGACCCATAGTTCTTCTGTTGTGAGAGATAGTAAATAATAAATTCCCATTTACTTTCTCTTTACTATATTTGTAAACCCTTATCATGTCCTCCCTCAACTGAATAGGCCTAGCCTTTCTGGTCTTCCCTCATATGGAAGCCCCTCTCTACCAGTAATGATCCCTGTGGCCGTTGTTGATACCATCTCTAGTTTTTCTGTATCCTTTTTGAAGTGTGGGGGCCAAAACCGGGCACAGTGCTTAAGGTGTAGATGCACCATGGATTTATAAATGGGCATAATAATGCTTTTTGTTTAGTTTACAATTCCCTTCTTAATAATTTCTTACATTTTGTTTGCCTTTTTTGACAGCTGAGCTGGTATTTTTAGCAAACTCTCTGCAATGACTCCAGATCTCTTCCCTGCGTTGTAACAGCTAATGTAGAACCCATCATAGTGTAGGTATAGTTTGGGTTATTTTTCCCATGCTCATCACTTTACACTTACCTACACTGAATGTCACTGCCATTTAGTTTCCCATTCACTCAATAGTGTCAGATCCTGTAGTTCCTCTCAGTCTGCCTTAATCTTTACCACTTTGAATAATTTTTCGTCATCTGCAAATTTGGCCTCTTCAGTACCCACCCCCTTTTCCACATCATTTATGAATATGTTAGACCATACTAGTCCCAACACAGATCCCTGGGGGATCCCACTATTTACATCTTTCCATGCTGAAAACTGACCATTTATATTCACCCCTTGTTTTCTATTTTTAAACTAATTTCTAATCCAGAAATAGACCTTCCCTGTAATCCTGTGACTACCTAACTTCCTTAAGATGTTCTGAAGGGGGACTTTGTCAAAAGCTTTTCTTGGAAGTTCAGATACAGTATGTCATTTGGATCACCCTGACCACCTGCTTATTGACACCCTCAAATAACTGGGCAAGGCATGATTTCTCTTTGACAAAACCATGCTGACTCCTCCCAGCAAGTCTTGTTCATCCACATGTTGAACAGTTCTTTTTCTTATTATTGTTTCTATAAGTTTTCCAGGAACAGAAGTTAAGCTCACCAGCCTGCAGTTCCATGGGTCCTCTCTAGAGCCTTTTTAAAATATGGGAGTTACATTTGCAGTCCTCCAGTCCTTTGGCACCAAAGCTGTTTTTAGTGATAGGTTGCAGATTACAGTTAGAAGTTCTGCAATTTCTTGTCTGAGCTCCTTCAGGACCCTAAAGTGAATGCCATCAGGTCCTGGTGATGTGCTACTGTTTAGTTTATCAGTTTCCTCTATGACCTCATCTATTGAAATCTCAATTTGAATCAGCTCCAACAACTTGTCTTTAGAGAGGAGTGGATCTGGAGAGGGAATCTCCCTAAAGTCTCCCACAGTAAAGACAGATGCAAAGAATGCATTTAGTTTCTTGGCAATGGCCCTGTTATCCTTTAGCACCCCTTTTAGACCCTGTTCATACAAAGGTCCAGCTGACTCCCTGGCAGGCCTTTGGCTTCTAATATACTTAAAGATTTTTTTATTGTAACCTTTTAGGTCTCTAGCAAGTTTCTCCTCAGCTTCTTTCTTAGTTTGTCTTATGGTTTTACATTTGATTTGCCAGAATTTCTGCTCTTTCTTGTTTTCCACATTAGGATTTGTTTTCCACCTTTTAAAAGATGCTTTTTCTTTCTATTGATTGACTCTGCAACTCTGCCATTAAACCATGATGGCTTTCTTTTGGTCTACTTTCCATATTTTTTTTCATTTGCGGTACACATTTTCTCTGTTAATCCAATATGGTGTTCTTAAGCAGTTCCCATGCTGCTTGCAAGTTCTTCACCTCCTTAGGGGCCCCTTTTAACTTCCATTTAACTAGCTTCCTCATTCTGGTATATCTCCCTTTTTAAAATGAATGGCCACTAGGGCTGTGTGAAACTTCTGTGTTTTGTTTCGGTTTTGGATTCGGCCGTTTCAGAGGACAGTGATTTGTTTTGGTGTTTCAGCTCATTGTTCCGTTTCAAATTGGCCGAACCTGTTTCAGAGTTTTGGCACCAACTCAGAGATTCAGTTTGGCTGGGGAGAGGCAGGCACAGCTGGGTGGTGGCATGTTCTCCCACAGCTCCTCTGGCTGTGCCTGCCTCTGCCCCGGCGGGGGGTGCCACGGGAGAAGCCCCCATGGCTGCCCTGGCTGGGCTCCTCCTCCCTCTGGCCCCCGCCCCCCAGCACCTTAAAAGAAGGGCCGGCTGGATTATTCCCAGGGGACACCTCCGAAACATCTGAAACATTTCCAAAACATTTTGGATGGTTTCGTTTAGTTTCAGAGCCTTCCGTTTTGTTTTAGATTCGGTATTTTGGGCACTGAAACGGGCCGAAACACCTCCAAAATGAAATGGCTGCCCAAATTTTGCACAGCCCTAATGGTCACTATTGTAGTAGACAATACTTTATATACTTTATAGACCAGGTCACACACTATTGTAGAGTGCACAGGCCAGGTCCCGGAGGACTGGAAAAGAGCCAATGTGGTCCCTATTCTCAAGAAGGGGAGGAAGGAGGATCCAGGCAACTATAGGCCAG